TTCAGTCGTTACCTAAAGGAGTGTAAAAGTTTTTGTTCGGTTTATTTAAATTCGCTTCAATATAAAATTACAAAATACTATTAAGTTCAAAAACGCAATCAAAAAGTAATCATGATCAAAAATTTACAGACATTTTTAAATAGATTTATACTCCTATACTAATCGACCGATATTAACCCAACAACGCTAAGAAGCACCGAAAAGAAAGTGATATTCAAATAAAACAAAGATATAGAAATCTGTCGATCCGTTTGTGAGTTACGATGTAACAGACAGACTTACACACACACATAAAATTCGCGTTACTGCAACCGCATTATAAGTAACGTAGAGACTTTAAAGAAAATTCAGATCTATTATTATGATACAATAATGAAAATAAAATTATATTAGGTATTTGCTATTTCAAGCGATAAAACATAAATTATATTTTTCATAGAACATAACTATCAGCTAGTAATATTGTTCATTTATTTATATTTGTATCGTAAACAATTATATTCATGATAGTAAACGCCGTTATATAAACGAGTAGTTATTTTTGTAAACAAATCTATTAGCCATTGAAAAATGTATTAAAAGTTTTAAGTGTTTTATCTCATTAAATAATATTAAATAAAAGAGAAATCTATTATGAATGAAACCGGATTCTATTGTAAAAGTTCCCTAATAATATACTGTTCAAAAATAAACAAGCACTTTGAAGTAAATTTTAAGATGGCAATACAAAAACAAATGGGTAACAATAGGTATCGAACCCACGTCAATAAAGACGTGTCGAACCTGATTGTTGAACATATTCTAATTCGACCGTTGTCTGTTTTTCCATCACTTTACTGACTGTCTGAATTCCTACCAAGGTTGACAATATTATATTGACAATTTACGAGCAAGCTCCTGCAACCAAACCAGCTCCACACGTAGTGGGCTTAGCTGGCGAGGTAAAGAGGGAAATATAGGAAGGTGGCAAAACCTACATTTCCTAAATAGTATCCCAGGCTTGACAGTGAATATCTGTGGAGATTACTCTCCACCATCGCAGTCCAACAGCGGTTTTCCATTATAATCACACACTGTCTTAAATCATCTGTAGTAGATGTAAAAGGCCAATGATGACAATATTTAAAATGTTTACACGTCACACTAGATTTTCACGCGACTTTGATTGCACCTTTTTCTGACACTTCAAAGATTTGTTCTAAAAAGTCTGAATGGCTGAAGAATAGTTTAAAACATGAATAAATAAAATTAAGTTTAACATGTAGTTTGTGTACTTATACCTATTTTAAATTCTCTCTAACATAAATAATTCTTACTTACATTATTGTGAATAAATATTAATATTCATACATTTTTAAAATATTTTATATTTATTACAAGATTATGTGAAATTCTGTGATGTATTTTAAATAAATGAGCCCAATTTAAGAGCATCTCATTACTGTGTCTATTCAACCGCGACCTCGTCAGTGATACCATATCAAATATTAATAGAAAGATAACTAAGACAATTTACATTAAAAGCATGTTATCATAAAATTAATTTAAATTAAAAAACCTTTAGTTATATATTGCATAGAAATGTGTATTGAAGAGAATTATTTACATAGAATTATCACTGAGCATTAATTGATTAATTCAAGTTCGATATTAAAATAGAAATGTCATTACGTTTGACATTTAGTGGCAAGTGTGTTTGACGTATTGGTGAATCCACACTGATTGACATATTACACGTGTGCGTCAAGTTACGCTGGTGTGTTAAATTTGTTTTAAATGTAATTGTATTTATGCATTTCGTTTCACTATGAAGTTTGAATTGTTAAATTTTATAAGGATTTTTCGCTTCATATGTTATTATTACTATGTATGTGTATATATCGGATTTATTACAGATTTCTTGTTTTTAAAAAAGAGGGACGCCAGCCTCGCTGACGTTACAAATGTCACTTCTTCTAGTACGGTCCATGATATTTTAAAATGAAACTTCAATTGTTCTTAATGCTCCTGTATTTCTCAAAGATTCTTCATAATAACACACTTCAATGATACACACTCACTGAACTCTGAATTATCAATCCTCAATTCTGAATTCCCAAGTCTGGAGTCGTGCATCCAGACGTCATATTTATAACAAGATTCAAACATAGTTCTATTCTCCTTTGATTTCGTTTTACTTTTAAGAATAATCATAAATACTAATGAGGTTTAATAAGAATTGATGACAGCCTCAAATTATTTAGATGTCGCATCCGTTATTAAAGCTTGTAGCGCCGATATATATATAACTTTGAAAGTGTTATTTAATTTAAAATTATAATTTCTGCGTCAAAATTCTTATCCTGGCATGTTAGGATTTAAGTCTATTTTAAAGCCAAATTTCGAGTACCAGAAGTTGTTTCTTTTATATTTTCGGTGCTTCGTATTCAGTTTCGGTTGTTTGTTGATTGTTTTGGTATCAAAAAACATGCTTACACAAGTTTTATATGATAATTAAGTTATTAATTTGAAATATAACCTTTTTTACTCATATTCTTCCTTTTATAAAATGTGTATATTTGCGACAATTATAAATCAATTATTTTCTTCGAAATACATCCTACACAGTATACAGGATACCATTTAATTTAATAGATATGTTTGTATAATCTACAAATATATATATATACCTACATTCTTTTACATCAAACGGCAGTTAATATATTAAGAATTATATACATATATAAATTAAAAGAAATTCTAAAAAGCTACATACATATTTGTATAAATATTATCAATCATTACTGAATCAAAGCCTTGAACTCAGAGAGCTATGATGTTTGCACAAGTGACATTCAAAGCATAATTATGTTTGCTCTTATCACGGCGTATGTATAAGCAAACTAACTTGTCAATTTATCTATATCTTCTATATATATAAAAATGGATTGCTGTTCCTTAGTCTCGCTAAAACTCGAGAACGACTGAACGGATTTATCTATGATAACATAGTCTTGAAATGTTCGTGGAGGTTCAGGGAAGGTTTAAAAGCTGAAAATTTTTTATTAATTTCCGGGAAAACTCTAAAAACAGCGCTTTGTTATTTCCCATACAAACGGTTTTTTGACATTAGATTTGACAACTAACTAATATGTCAATCATTTTGTCGCACTTCAGAACACGGAGATTTATGGCTTAAAGGTAAACACCAAAAAAATAAATAAGACATAATTTATTTCTTGATTGAGGCAGTATGAAGTCTGCCGGGTCAGCTAGTATTAAATATAAATATATATTAACATTGTATATTTCCTTTTTAACAAATATAACAATTCAATATAACCAGAACGGTTTGAGTTCATTTTTCCGATTGCCTCGCCCACTTGCGGCGACGTTTTTGGATTGCTTCCAAACAATTCCATTCGATTCTTAAGTACTGGAATAGCCTTTGCGGCTTTTCCTTAATCTCGACATCCGTGATTGCATTTCTAATATTGTTTTGCTTTAATTATATTCTTGATAATAAAATCGAGATCTTGTTAAAGCCGCAATATCTATGTCATAAAAGTACCGTCTCCACGTCTAAAGATTTTACTTTTCCAGTCTCAATACTAGTGCTAACATCAATAGAATTTCTATATTTACACAAATTTCGTGTATTACGAGATATTTGGCAAAATATTAACGTCAATAAATAATATAATGACATCATATTGAAGAGTGAACGTCACCTTAATATCTCATAAGGAAAAGTAATATTATATATACGAGAACGATTTGTGAGTAATTAAGAAAATATATATTAATTGAAAATTTATTGTCCTATTATAATAATAAAATGTCATAACACTTAAGTTAGATTATATAAATATTAATATATATTTATCCTTGTAACCTAAGCCCTTGAGAATTCGATACAACAATAAAAATGTTCACACCTTATTAAGTTCAAAAAAGTGAACCGAATGTTGACGACAACTCCATTGTTGTCAAATCGATACGTTATAACCAAAAAAACATCGTTCGCACTTTATTAAGTCACAAAAAGTAAACCGAAAGTTTGTATAAAGCATTCACGTACATAACCGCGTAAGTTATGTGGAGGCACTAAACAACCATGTATATTTGTTCATATCTTGGTAAACAGGAGTCGTAAATAAGGGTGATTTTACCGCGAGGGCGTGCTCGTACAGAATTTTTAAGGAAAATAGGAAAACACTCGAGACCTTCCTGTTAATATGGGTGTAAATAAAAGGAAATTGTTCGGTTTATTCCAGCTAAAGTCTCCGCTATTTCTTTGGAGTGTTTTTCTTCATTAATGTATGTAGACTTTGAGAGTTTATTCAGAATACCAGCACAGGAGATTGCATTAGTCTTGCTCTTTTTTCAGTAATTGAGAAGACAATTTATTACATTTAGTTTTTTTCGTAGATATCTTCTCAGGCAAGAGATTTATCGGAAGAATGTGAAAATTTCTTATTGAAACCGTGGAACGGCGAAATATGAGATTAAAACAAGTTACTGAATAGGATCTTAAAGTCTTTATTTATAAGCATGTTATATGTTAATTAAGGCTGTACTTCCGTCAAATAATGGCAAAGATAAGTAGTTTGATAATAGGCTAATAAACATTAATAATAGAAAATATACTGAAACATTTAAGTCTTAAATGACGTGGTTGAATATGTATGAAATTATTTGTTTCACATTTAATTTCACAGGTTTTTTTAACTTATGATGGCCTCAAGTGAGCGAGCGATCCATAAGACAATTAGTGGTTCCTTGTAAACAATCTTTTAAAAGGATTTTTTCTTTTAACACCGTGACATATGAATAAAAAAAAAAATGTCGGATTACTTGAAATTTAAGTTATTTACATGTATTTCTTGAAGAATATATATACTGAGACATGGTCCTTAATAATGAGGCCATTTAAATCTAGTTTCATTATCATATATCTTCAAAAGCTGAAATGGCTTAAAACCTAGCCATGGTTAAGAAATAATGATATTGCTACTAACCTGACATCGTCCATCAATGCACATATCTAAACTCCCGGGTCTACAACGAGTACCATCTGATACTCGGGCTGCAAGAACTGCTACCACCACTCGTTCCTCCTCATCTAGAGCCATAGTCTGAAACATATTCATAATATAATAATTATAACCAACTTCTTCTCTACCTGGCAATTTCCCGGCTATACCCAGGGTCTGCCTTACATATTGTGAATAGTATTGGCTAATTGTTTTTTTACAACCAGCCGCCTGCCTGACATCAACCCTCTTTTGTGAATGCATTAATCAGTGATGTCTAAATATTCTTAGATAGTACATATGAATTGGAAAAATCACATTGGTACTTGCCCGGGCCAGGATCGAACCCGCACTCTCGACAACGAGGGCGGGCCCTCCAACCATTAGGCCACAACTGACTCGTAATTTGATTTGTAATAACTATAACCACTTCATACCATCATAATGTTTGGACATACCAATAAATCTTTAAGGATAATAAGCAAAAACATATTTTATATGATATCCAAAAGATTATCTTAATCTCAGAATTTGAAATGAATTTTACTATTTTAAATCCCCTACATGCAAAACTACTTAGTATTTATGTTGCTTTAAAATAATACAAGTATTATATTCATTCGATCAAATATCAGATAAAATATTGAGAAATAATAAATTCGAACAAAAGAATCAAGGAATGCTGCTTCAAAACTGTTCTAAAATATTTAAGTCGCGATTCTGCAAAACAGTTTTACTTCTGGTCACGCGTCGTACTGAAAGTGTTCGTTTCATCACGTCCACGGAATTCTAAAAATTTTGCAAGGGAAATGCTTACGAAATAGTTTTATTGCATTTGTGAATTGAAAATAGTCAACCTGGAGACTTATTCAGTGAAGAAATATGTATAAATCTTATATTATAAATAAGCATTGTTTAACAAAATCGCGAGCATTAACTGGTCTTTTTCACGAAGCTCAAACACTTATATTCGTTTTTATGAACATGGATTACGTAAAGTTATCAAAGACATTGTTCGGAGAAATGAAGTCATTATTTTTATTTATTTACAATGGAAAAGAAAATAAAGAATTGTTCCCTTTTTTCCAAAGGAAACTGAACATAAATAATATTAATCTGGCATCGAATATGTATTTTTTTGTATCATTAAATATTAAAACATAACTTTTATAATGAGAGAAACGGATAATACAGGTGCAGGTATTGACGAGCATAAAAATTAATGAACAGTGTTCACGCAGTGTATTAAAATATATTAAAAATCATGACTTTTTATTATTTTAAATAATGAAAATATATTGCATAAATGTGTGTATATTTTAGTCTTTTGTACGTAGGAGTATTACAATTTAGCGTTATGGTGTAGCGTTTCAGTATGGTGCTATGAAATATATCCATTGTACTCAAAACGTAATCACCGCGACCGAAATAGATGGCAGTCAAGCTTCTGGTTTTTCGAACAGTCATATATTATAAGCCGTTGTTTTTAAAACCGATTTTGATTTAGATGTGTTTACATTAAGTAGGTGTATTACTTAAAGAACAGTAGTATAAAACAATTTTTTATGAACATCACTTGACATTTGTTCTATCTAAAAATTATAGCTTATATTACAAACAGTGATACGAAATTCCTGATACATTTAAATTCCATATTTATAATAAATGACCGTATAAATTTTGTATTGCCTTTTAAGTGTGAGAAAAACAGTTTATTAGGTACTTTCCGTTCAGGTAATATCTATGGAAATGTATGGAAATTTCGAGAATTGTTAGATACAATTTTAAACTTACCGGTTCAGGACTTTGTCCGGAATGCTGTGGTGTACCACGACACGTTAGAGCGCATGGTTCATCATCGTCTCTGTGAGATCTCCAATGAAACAATTCTCCTCCATACGGCGTGTTATCATGAGAACTACACTCCTGTTCTCTCCATATATCTTCTTCTAGAAGAGACACATTACCGCGGCAAGGCTGAAAAAATTATGCATTAATATATTGCTAATAAAGTATAAAGTATTGTCCGATAAAGTTTTTTTTCATAAATAAATTTAGAACAACATAAACATTTAACATAGTAGCTGTTATTAAAAAATAACGCGTCGCATAAAATGAAAAGAACGATGCGTTAACCGGCTTTTGTAATATAAAAGTAAATGAAGTTAAAAATACTGAAAATGAATATAGAGCTTTTACGTACGTGAAAATTAAATTTGAAATTTTCTACTGAAATCCACAATAAAGTCGTAAAATAATACGTGGATTTTACGTTGTACAGCAGAAATATTTAGCTACATCATATAAATAGTTACACCGATATAAAATGGGAAATATGTTTCCAAAGGTATTTCGGATTCCCGCGAAGTGTCGGGTATTTTTTGTTACGTTATCGATATGAAAAAAATTAAGAACATATATATATTAAAATATATTTTTAAATATTATCTGAATATTTTACAAATACATTAAAAGATTTTTATTGTTTATACATTTTTTTCAGGTAAATTTTGTTTCACTTTTTTCACATAGACAGAATAAAATAATATGAAAAATTTAACGTTTATATAAATGACGAAGTAAGATATGTGTTCTCAACTAATAAATGAAAGCCTAGAATAATAAAAAGTGTCATAATTTTTATTTGCAGAGTTTTCTATAGACTGTCACTAGAATTTTATGGTTGAGTTTAATGTCTTCAATATGGTTTAACTTTTATCACATAGCGCTATGGTTTTTTGTTTATTTATTGCATGTCGCATTACAGCTAGCTCTCTAGAGTGGGAATAAGTAAGTTTTTTCTTTACTTTTAATGATTATATATGAAGTAAATTGGTTGAAGATATTGGCAAAATTTTGGAAGTTATTATGGTTTTTATATCAAAAACTTATACTGTTTAAATTAAAAACAAATTATGCACTTAGTAAACTATTCATATGAGAATGCTTTTTGTCTTATAATAGTATGTGGTTTCTCGTTATAGTTCTATCATGAACTGATATAGTAGTGGCTAGTTATAGAACCTTTTGCGGTCGGTGGCCAATTTAGCGGTAGTATTGTATACAAGTCTATTATTAAGTCTCAATGGCAATTAACATCTAGCTTTCTGGATATTTATAAGCTGTATTATAAGTTTTCCCGTAACCAAAATACTATCTCACAAACATTTGGTTTCCACTGTCTCAAAATGTGATAATTTTTAAAGAAGTTTTAATCATGAAATGATTCCATGAAGATCGACCATCGCCTGTCGGGGAAGCTGGTGGGAGTGCGAAAGCGATCCCCCGCCCCGACACAAGGGCCGTCATGGAACACCCTTGGGTTTTTAGTGGGTAGTGGCAACGAGTCCCACATACCCCGCTGTTTTCTAAAAACGGCGGGTATGCGTAAATGCATTTTCCCAAGGATAACAAAAAAAAAAAAAAAAAAAAATGAAGATCGACCATTACTCATATGTTTATCAAATTGGTAATATACAACAATTTATCGAATTAAAATGGTTATATAAAGTTGCTTAGAAAGACATGCTCAAAGACTTCCAATTTACTAGAATATCATAATGAGGAATTGATGAGGATTAAAATCGTCAGTCTGTGTAATCTAGCAAGTGAGAAGAAATTTCTTTGTTTTCCTTTTTATTACTACGGACAGAACGTATGCGTATTTTTTTCCGCTTTACATATTTATAGTACAAATATATTATCTTCATAATGAGACTTTAGAGTTTTGCGAGTATTCATTGAAATTAAACTAATACTATTCGGATACTACGCGTATTTTCCTATTTTTACAGCTACATACTCCCGACGTTTCGGTTACATTGCAGTAACTGTGATCACGGGCAGACGAGTTGTGTTGGGATCACGAAAATATTAGTTTTTATAGCTATATCTTCCTCTTACACGAAAGAAAGAATGCGCAATGATATTTTCTAGTACATCTTGAAGTAGCTCCGATTTTTGTATTTTATAAGTTTTCATGACCAACCTTGAAAATCCATGCGGCAAAAAGAGTAAAACCTAAATGACAGTTTTTAAATGCTTTAAAACTAATTTCAAATTCACAAGTCTCAATTTACATTACTTTATATCACTAACTGTTAAAATATAATACACATATTAAAATGGTATTATATAAAAAGATAAATAAATACATACACATATATATATATATATATATATATATATATATATATATATATATATATATATATATATATATATATATATATATATATATTAATATATATATTTCCTCAAATAACTTCAAGAAATTCCTTAACACAATTTCGTCGCTGACTTTTATGAGCAAAGATTGATCTGGTTAGGCTTAAGGTTAGTGAACCGCGTTTTAAGGGTAATTTCTCGAGCGCAAGCTTGAAATTTTAGGTCATAATTGGATTCAGAAATGCTGGATACTTAGAAAAGTTTTACGGTGGAAAATAAAGCGATGGAGCGCTTTGGGTGAGTCTCATCGCTGTAAATATTGGAGTAAGCTCACGTAAGTCTTAAATCTAGCTAGTTTAAACTAAGTATAAAATTATTTAACATCATCAGCGATATAGTAAAATAAGTCGCGTTTAAAATATTCCTTGTCCAGTTTCGTTAAAATATTTTCGTAGAAGTCTTAATAATTTAATGAAGGGTTAACCACTACGTTCAGTATATTTCAAAATGAGTTAGTTGATTAAAAATATATCAACTTCAACACCCATAAAATGCATATACACCCATAAACCATTTTACACCCATAAAACAAATATACCAAGTCTAGTTTAACAAGAAGAAAGAGAAGCTATAATTTATAATCTATTTTCAAATGCTATGGCACTATTGTCTTCACTTCCATAGTTATATCATGATTATACGCCTAAGTTATTGGAATTGCATTATGTTGTAATTCCCCCGGTTAAGTTGAACCATTAATCATGGCATTGTTGGTGAGAAGCCAAGTTTGCACCTCGCATATTACTTTAAATTTATTTACCGCTATTGATACCAAACTAATCGAGTTAGTTTTCATAGGAGTCAATTGTATTAAAAAATATTTTATTTGAGTATCGTTTTATATAATTGATAATGTTTAATCTTTGAAGAAACCTAGTATTTTATGTAAACATTTTAGTACCCAAAGAAAAAATAATAACTTGCTAGTTTTGCTTTCTACGTCCGTAAATTTTGTTCTGAAAAAACGAAACATTAGAATTGGAAACTCCTCGTATAACAATGAAAAGATAAAAAAGATTAACTGACTAAAAGATTAACAAATAATTTGTGTGAAATTATAATTTTGCTGGCGGTCATTGTCAAGGTACAATGTGCCTGTGAAGGTATAAATAAATTATGGAGTTGAATTCTATGTATATAATAAAAAGTATATTAAAGCCTTTTAGCAAAATATATCAACGGGCAGGCTTAAGGTACTTCCCAGCATCCGACGTGAGATTAACTGGTATTACTGAGATCCACCTCTGGCAAAATGAGAGGAAAACTAAGCCTAATCTGTAAAATTATTAAGATTTTAGGATAATATTTTTCATAAAATATTTTTCATATTTTATCCTATACTCATAATTTTTCCATCTACGATATAGAGGCATTACATCAATATAATGTTATGAATTAACTCGATGAAAATTATAATTAAGAAGAGAAAATCTTCATGCTAATTCGCTAAATATGCAAGAAAAAATCACGTTGAAACGAAATTACGTCAAAATATATTAATTTCTGGACATTTTAAATCTGTTACACTTATTTTAAGACAAGTAAGAATTAAAACTGAAATACAAATATGTATCTGAAAAGAGAAGATAATTATAATTACTTTAAATTTGAAATATTTTATGTAAGGATAATATATGTTCTCATAATAATTACTTAAAATTTGGAATATCTTATCTAAGGGTAAAACATGTTCCTTCTTTGTGGATAAGTTGTTTAAGTTACGATTACTACATATTACGTTTATATATTTACTTTTTAACACTTTCCAAATCAAATAATTGGTTAATTATTCTCTGTATGACCATATACTAATTTAATATTTTTCAACGTCTTATTGTTTTTTTATTAATATATATAAAACATATTTCTTTATTTAATACGAAGTTCACTTGATCCGATAAAATAAATTGAGATAAAATTTGTCACATGTAAATCGCTGTTTCAAAATATATATGATGAACGGTGAATTGAATATACCAAAGTATCTGTCAAAGCCTGTCTTTGAATAACCTGTTTAGTATGAACACTATACATTATATGCAGGTGACAGTCTTACTTCAACGGGAGGAAACAGAAAACGTTAAAGCAAAGTTTACTAAGAGAAATATAACTATATATAAATTTATATTTTTGTATCTAAATTAAATTAAATGAGAAAAAATCATAATGTAAAAATATAAATTATAATAACAATATATATTTACGCAAAAAACCACAAAACCAATAATAGCTAGAGGCATTTTCATGGTTCCGAATTTTACGGCCAAATAACTAATTTTCAGCTCGGAAAAATAAATCAAAGTTTTATAGCACAAAATCGCCTTTAAGTTTCCTTGAAGTATAATGAAACTGTACCTAACAACGTGGGTTTCAGTTCGTAAACACTTTTAGTGTTTGCGGCTAGGTTTTAAGACTTTTCAGTCTAAATAACCCCGCCAGGTAATTAGTGCAGAGTGTATGTTTTCATTAAGACCAAAAGAAAAAGGTACGTGAAGAAAATAGTTTCGTTTGTTTACTTAATTAACGCTACTGCGTTTATTAAAGCTTTAAAAAAACTTAATTTCATAAAGTTTTATGTTTAAATAATGTTTTTACAATTAGTAATATGTTTCACACATCCCTACTAATATTATAAATACGGAAGTAACTCTGTCTGTCTGTTTGTCTGTTACGCTTTCACGCCAAAACCACTTAACTGATTTTAATAAAATTTGGTACAAACATAGAGTTGACCTTGAGAAAGAACATAGGATAGTTTTTATTCCAGACTTTTGAAAATTTCAGACGCGGGCGGAGCTGCGGGCGGAAAGCTAATAGTTATTTATAAATCCTCAAACATTCATCAACTTCTATGACATTTCTTTCTTCATATGTATGGAAATAGAAGATCAATCAATCAAGTCTATATCTATGATGTACCTGCATGTTGCATATCTTGTATCTGACTGGTTCCCCTCTACATCCAGCTGGTGATGAACAGGTTCTTAGTTGACGAGAGACTCCGCCGTCACAGGTCCTTGAGCATAATGACCATTCGCTCCATTGAGACCAACCTCCGCGGTCCTGACAAAATATAAACATATTAATCACAATGAGATCTAAAATTTTCGTTAGTCTCATTCATTTAAATGAAACTAATGTTTTTCGGACGAACTACGCGAATTTATTTTTTATGACATGACATAACATCTCGTCTGTCCGTGATCATGGTTGCTGTAAAGTAGCCGAAACGTCGAGAGTATGCAATTTTTTATCAAAAATTAAATCCCGTCATACATCCGAAAAATATTAGTTCCATTTAAACATATTAATCATTGATATATAAGAATCACGCGAGAACATACTTGAGTATGTTGCGAGAATATACTTGGATTTTTTTGTAAGGTTAAAAAACAAAGACTAATACTTTCATCTAGTCCTTCCTTGTCTTGGTTACTGAAAAGTAATAGAAATGTAAGGTCTAATATAAAATTATACTCAATCAGGGTCAGTCGGACTCGAAAAGTATGGTTTTATTTAAATTTGTATGTAAAATATAATGTAGACAGTATATTGATATTAATTAGATATTATATGTAGTTTTTATGTATGCATATTATGTTGTATATATATGTATATAGTCAAAATCAATAGCTGTAAATCGCTTGAAAATAAAAATGTTCTCCCTCCTATAGACGAGATGTAAAAGAAGAATTGTACTTCAGATTAAAATTTAAAATATGATTTTTGTATGGGAATATAATTGTAGAATAACCAATATTCATTTCTTGTTGAACAAGCCGTAGTTAAAAATGTAAAAACAAAACTATTTTCAATAAAAATAAAAGTTAATTTATTTCATTTCAATGGTTTGCAGTCGTTTAAAAGTTCTGAGCTATAATTAAAAAATTCTGTACGCATCAACTTTATGAAAGTTTTCTTTGAGCTGTGGGAAAATAAAAAATAAAAATATAATTTCATTAATTTCTTGTAAGCTAGTTATAAAACTCTGTGATTGCAGTAAAATCAACAGTTAAAATATTTGAATATGTCTCCAAAAAATGTTTTGGTACATTTTAACATTAGTGTGCAAAAACTATGTATATAATATTTAGAAAAGATATAAGGCAACATCGAAACAAGAGAAGTATTAGCGTCATATTATAAGACAGAAGATTTTTAATCTTAGTATTGCAACTTTTATTAGACGAGAAGTATAACAAGGAAGACCAACTTGCATTATATGAAATTCTTTATAACATGAAAAGTATGCTTTTCTAAAAGATATAAAATTTCTGTAGTTATTTTCTGTCTATATTAAAAATATTTATGATGAGACGTTTCTGGAGACAAAAAATAAACTCTACGTACCGTAATAAGCTGCAACTACAAAAATAAGTTCTTGATTTTGTATAGTAAAATATTTACGTCACCTTTATAGTATTTATAACATAAAATTCACTACATGTTTTTTTTTCTCTATATTTAATATTCCAGGCTTGTAAAATAAATGAACATCGCCGGGTCAACATCGTTTTATGGATAAAATATCATATAACGAGTGACGCTGCTGACTCCGCGGAACGAACACCAAGCCGTGTGAACCGGAAGATTCCTGATACTACACAAGCTTTGGAATGGTATTGCTATCCTAACATCGGTACAATCATATAGTCTTAGGTATAGGTTATAAGTTTTCATATGTAATTTTTATTATAATATACGTATAAGTATGTTTCGTAGTTTTCCTGGAACCTCCGGTTGCCACTCTATATAAATAGGTTTACAGCTTCGAAAGTGTCAACAGCGATTTGTTTAGTTCAATAGTAAATACTAAAATGTAGGACATTCGTTCGAGAATCGGTGCCACTAACAAGATAAGAATCGCCTAATCTTCGTGAAGCCGAGACATAATCTAGTGTTTCATATAAAGCCTGGTTTGTCTCAGATTTCTAGGAAAATAGCTAGGCGCCATTACTCGGTTCTAGCGACTTGGCGGATTCCCAAAATAGATTAACTTAACTGTAAACGATATTTTGTACTGAGATAAAGTTAAAAATAGATCGCTTAAGAAATACTTAACTCTAGGTTCTCATGAGTCGTAATAGATAACATTGTTTGTCACTGTAAAATAAACGTTACACATGGTTCGTACAAAAAATTAATAATTTTATTATATATATGATTGTTTTTAGAAGTAATTGTTCTCAAACCAGAGACTAAATATCCTCAAGTATTTAAATGTATTCAGAAATAGTTCTTTTATATATCTTAAATTATACAAATAAATAAATGACTCCACAGAATGTATTTTACTATAAATATATGCACATACATATATATCTACGAAGATAATATACTGTTTGTGGAAAAATTGTTTCAAAGATGAAAACTAGAATAAATTCCTGTTTAGATTAGATATCATCCCTTTGCTTATAAACAGTGTTATTACAAAAGTATTACTTTGTTGCATTTATTTACATATGAATTCATTAGTCCTCGTAATTATTATGTCAAGCTATTTCAAAAGCTCTCTTTTAATTATAAATTATAAAGCTAATTAATATACACACTTTTAAAATAAAATGTCTAATTATATGATATGTTTTCTTGTCAAATATGATTGAATTTTAACAAAAACCATCTATTCTTACTTGTATTTAACAATATAAGAACTTGTATTTAATTAGTCGGTGGTGACCTAGGGGTTAAAAAGCCCGCCTCTCATGCATTAGGGCACGGGTTCGATCCTGGCAAGTACCAATGTAATTTTTCCGAGTCATATCTACTTTCTAAGAGTATTCAAACATCACTGATTAATGTTGATTCTCAAAAGAGGGTTGATGTCAGGCAGGCGGCCGATCGTAAAAACAATTAGCCAAAACTATTCACATCATGTAAGACAGACCCTGGTTAAAGCTGGGACATTGCCAGATAGAAGAAGAAAAAGAACTTGTATTTAATTAGTGGCTGAAACAATAAAACTTCTGTATAAACAAATGTACTCATTTAATAACTTCCGTTTTATCATAAAACTAAGGTTAATCACTACAATGTATTAATATCGTATGACTGTAGTTACCAATAGTAATAATAGTAGCCACCCTTGTAGTTCACGATTCTAAAAGCCCATTACAAAGGTTAATACGAAGTGAGGTGCAAATTGTAAGTAAAGGAATTACTGGCAGAAGGCAAACGATAATCGAATTATGGACGGTGTTATTAAGTACTGTCCCGATACATAAAGAGAGAACGATGTAAAACAGAACGCTTCTATGTTATATAATTATAGGAATCGGATAACAATTCTAACATAAAAGATATCTAAGATAAAGAAAGATATTTTAATCTTATTTATGTCGAATAAGTTTATTCTCAGGAACGTTCCTAGATATTAATAAATATGTATTTGTTTTAGTGATATATTTTTGACAACTTGGAATGAAGTAGGATTTTAAGTGGATAGTTTTCATAATGTTTGCTCATTAAGATTTTCTTAGTGAATAGTTTTGGTCTTATTTGTATTTTTTAAGAGCTGTTTTTCAAAATATTATTATAAGATTGGCTCACCCTATCTTTTTAACATATTGTACATAAAAGTTTATTTGTACATGAAATATATGGGAAAAATCTGGTCTTATAATATATGGTTTATAAAGAAAATAGATTTTTTAATTCCCAAGCGAAGTATTTGTAATGCAACTTAAAAAACAAATGTTATGTCTAAAAATACTGCCCTTCGCCACTATTTCACATATTTGAAGACGCGTGCATATCTATTCAATTGTGAGGTTATTTGTTCAATAAGATATTGTACTTCCTTCTACAAAATAACTTATATAGTTTTTATAAACACTATCTTAAACACAACGATAGAATTTCAAAGCAATCAGAGAATTTCTTCCGTAGTTGTATCTTTTGAAAGAAACACCAATTTTAGCTTCCCACCTCTTGTAACTCTTCAATTGAAAGCGGAAAATTTGTTCCGAAATATTTTTGGGCATTTTCATCTTCGTTACGGAAGCGACGAAGGAATCAGCTAACTACATTGATTTGTTTGCAACCAAAAAGATTATAAAGAATTTGAGGTTTTTATTAAAAGCTTAATATTAATTATGCACTATAACTGAGTTCAGACTTGTAACAAGATCCTGAAATGGCCGCAGTAAATTATTTACTCAGTATTTCACCAAGACCAGAAAAACTAAATGATGGAAATTATATGCTTATATTTTTAATTGCATAAAGATTTTTTTTATTTAAACTACATACTTGTGACCTATGTGTCTAATATTATTAAATGTAATTATAACTCAAAACAAGGTTTTTGATTAATTATGGATAAATTAGGTGTAAAAAACTAATATTTTGCGAACGTCAATATTAATTTGACAACCAACTGTATTAACTGTATACAACAGATTTACTACTCGACTTTATTTTTGATTATAAACTACATACTCCCGACGTTTCGGTTACTTTGTAGCAACCTTGATCATGGACAGACGAGATGTATCTCATCTTAGTATATAGATAATAATAAAAGTAAAAATCGCGTAGTAAATCCGAAAATATTAGTTTCATTTAAAAAGAGCCATATTATCTAAATATAATTGTAGTCACCTTCGCAGCTTCGGTTCAAAGTATAAAGGTTCAAATGTTTAAAACAATATCAATCTATAAGATCACATATTTACATTTTATGTACAATATGAGATTTTGATCACGTGCCTTTTTTACATACAGCTGACCCGAATAACAAATATTTGCTATTCGTTCCAACATTAAGAGTAACCAACTTTGTACTTTATTACTAAAATATAAGGTATACTTTAGCATATGTAATAACTTCTGTATTTCCGTTCAATTAATCTTAGTAGCTTTGGATAAGGTTAAGTCTGAGACAATGTCACGTCGAGTTTTAAATGCTTTTATCAAACATAGATTATTATATTGGTTTTAAATTCATAGTAAAATCATGTTGCGAAAAATATAAAATCTACGTTTTTACATAAAAATATAAAAGAAAAGGAAAGATAAAGAATATTTTTTGTTTGATAATTTAAACTATGAACTGTCTTTATGACTCAAAATAACGTGTAGGAAATATATTAAAAACGGGTTTAAAAAGCAGTTAGTAAATGGATTGAAAGAAAATATTTTCACATAAGAATTAATTAAAAAATTAAAAAAATACAATCGTAAAACAAAACAAATATATATAACCACACACAACAATATTTATGTTTAATTTAAATAATAACTAGCTCAAGCATATTCTAAAAAATAGTCTTGCCAAGATAAAGTAAAATAAAATATTTTTAACATAAATAATGCATAAGATACTCAGTATATGAACTAAAATGCTTCTTGGAGATAATTCAATTATTTTTGCGCATTTTGCTTCTGAAAACGCAGACAAAGATAACTCGTGCATAAGATACTTCGCTCGTCTGGTTTTTAAAATGTTCCATTTATGATAGATCAAAGTTTTTTTACAAAAATCACATCCAAAGTCTTGGAATCATGAATCTTTAGGTTATTGAACTGATTTAGATAAAATTTTTGTCTTATATCGTGTATGTTCTTCTTCTACCTGGCAATTTTCCAGCTATAGCCAGGGTCTGCCTTACATGTTGTGAATGGTTTTGGCTATTTGTTTTTACCACCGGCCGCCTGCCTGACATCAACCCTCTTTTGGGAATCTAATGATGTCTAAATATTCTTAGAAAGTACATATGATTCGGAAAAATCACATTGGTACTTGCCCGGGCCAGGATCGAACCCGCGCCCTCGGCAACGGGCAACGAGAGGCGGGCCCTTTAACCACTGGGCCACCACTGACTTATGTGTATGTTATTATTGACTTAGTCTTTCATAGCTTGATATATGTTTGAATTCATTGCAATAATGACTTAGAACAATAATAGTCATAAAGTTATGTACGTTAACAGGTTTTTTAAACATTTTAACTTCATTTATATATGAGTGGGTTGCATAAAATGTGCAGAAATTTTACTTTGCTTACAAATATTTTGATACTTAGTAACCACAATGTATTCAAGGTTCATATATACCGGCTAAATCCGACATTATAATGTATATTTTACATCATAATGAAAAGCCCCAAGTAAAGCTTATTTCAGTGACTTTGCTTGCATGAAATGTTATATATATATAATAGGATAGGAATAAGTCTAAAAACAGACTCGCAGTAATAAAGAAATTGAAGAATTTAAATAGCAAAATAATATTTACAATGTACATTTATAAAACCTAAAAGCAATTTCATAACATTTCACGTACAAGTCAAACTTATTGGCCGTATCTTTATATTTTCTGAAAAACTTCTCTCTTTATTACTTTTCCGTTTACGCGAGATCAAACAAAAGTTCTTATTTGTTTCATCTCCTATATTCGTACATTTTAGGAATTTTATAACATATTTAATAAAATTATATAATAAGTGAGAGGACCAGAATTTTTGCGTACTTATACTAAGTTTCACAGCTACTTAAATTCTATAGTACATTATTATTTATTATATATGAAAAAATATATCTAAAATTAATTGATAAATAAATTGTAGCTGCTTTAAAATTTGAATATTCCATATATTTTTTACAAAAACAGTTCGTCCGTAAGGTTTCATAAGGTTTCATACTAAAATATAAGTATAAGAATTAATATTAGAGCATACAACTAACATAAGTATTCCCTTGAAATAATAACACGACTGCGTATATTAGATAAAGCCGTTTAACAAATTCGTTTTCAGCCGATTGATTTATGCAAATCGACTAAACACATCAAGTGGAGCGGTAACTAATATGGTTGCTCAAATTGAACGAACAACTTAATCTGGAACAAACATTGCTGTCTGTCGCTTGATCATCACGAGCCCATAATAAAAACAAACTGCCGGAGAATTTACAATCTAGACGTACCAAAGGGTTGGGTGTGGTTTAAGTTATAGAAAATAGCGTTTTGATACATATTTATATATTAAGTTTATTAGATAATAAACAGTCGCTTCTAGAAATAAAAATTTGACTGTAGGAAGGTTTATAGAAAATTTAATTTATAGATCGGTAATTTAAATATGATGATGGTAATCGTCCAAGTTAAAATGAAAACGCATCAAAGGAAAGGTTTCTGTGTGGAAAGTCTAAGACAGATCATTACAATAGATTTAAGTCTTATCTTGTCAATATTTTTATTTTTCCTTTTTAAAGGAACAATTAGATATTTTTTTTATAAAGATTGAAAGGGCAGGTAATAATAATGTAACGATTTTTTTAGTTGTGGTAAAGATATTTATTTAAAAATATAATGAAAATACTATTTACGATATTTTGAAATATTTTTCTAAATTTATCTCGTTGTAAATTTAAACATAATACGATCGTGATATGGACCAACTGCCTAGTTTTTCTAATTTTCAATATTTGTTGATAAAAATAAATTAAATCACATACAATTTAAGTACAAATAAAAATAATCCCACAGAATATTAAAATTTCTATACCACTTTACCCCAAATAAACCGCTATTATATATATCATAGTAAGTATCTTTAAGTTATTCATACACAATAACTACGTACATATAATTTCATAGTTTGCATTTCACTTAAATACATTTATTAATGATAAAATTCAGAGTCGATATGGAAAGAAACACGACAAATCCTTGTATTACTTAAATTCTTTCGCAATTATCCGTTTTATAATCTAAATACGAAATAATTCCCGCTTCATCTTATAACATGTCCCACAACCAAATGGCATAATTCGAAACAACAGTGGCATATGCAAATTTTAACTCCAAGAGCCGAATTCAATTTGTCAACCCCAAACTGCTGTTTTTACAACACTTCCACCGCAGCTTAAGGATTTATGGACCTTAAGTGATGTTAATAAAGGCTGGAATCGAAAAGCAGTCTCGAGTTTGCTTGATGAAGAAAACACATGTATTTAATGTAATAACAGTTATGCGAATAGCGATAAAGTGGAGTTGAAACGGGCTGGGGACTCTTTTATTTGTATCTCGTAACTAAACATGTCTTAATACAGATATGAGGGAATAAAATTCATAATAATATTGAAATATTATATATGTTTTTATATAATATTAGACAATTAGACAATTTACCTTAATTCAGTATTAAATTATACTAGTGTAAGGTAGTATTTGTTTTTTTGTGCACTTCCATGATCCTTTGATAACCTAACAAAATCAAATACAATGATTAAGTTGAATATAATAAATAAGCACAAAAATTAATCTGATATTTTAATTTTATACAAATCTCCAAAAAGTTTAAAACAATATTTTAATGAATAAAAAGCCATTTATTTGTAATTACTTTTCTATAAAAAGGGCTTTTATATGCATCAAACTTGATTGTGGTGTTTCAAAAAAAAGTCAGATAATAAAACATAAAATATATATTTCAGTTCTATCTTTTTTTTACTTAAAAATAATCTGTTTATAAATCTGACAATAATAGAAAACGACTCATTGTAATCTCAAGTATAAGTAACGGTAAATATGTAAATGAATCGTAAAATAAGTACGTAAACCAACTTATCTTCTTCGCAGCGTTACTCAGTGCTCAGTACTCAGTGCTCAGTGCTCAGTACTCATTGTGTGATGTAATCATTATAAAGCACTAAGGAAACCTTTCAACTTGTTAGTTATGAGCGTATGATAATCTCAGTTAACTGTACAAACACACAAGTAACCTGAGCAAATAACTATTATATTTGCTTTGAATGTTTAATTTGTTTTCGATGAGGTTGCAAGCTAAAAACGGATTGTTATTTAAGCAAATAGAAAATGAAGATTCGGCTTTGGAGGTTAATGTAGTTGGGACAAGTTTTAGATGATATTATAACACTGAATGAATTATATGTTGAATTTATATTGAATTCATTCATTTAAATGTAACATTTATTTAACAATGTATTTATTAATTGGTAAATATTTTACTCGTTGAGGTTAAAATAATTTTAAATAGTAACCTTTTTGTTATTACAATGTATTAAATTCATTCAGTAGTTTTTCTGAATATGTAGAAGAGCCATTACCACATTTTCCTATTTATACAAAAGTTATTATTTATATTAATGATGATATATTTGTATATCAAGATTGTAAGATTTTTATTGTATACAGTAAAGTCGCAAGTTTAGTTGATAAAGAGGCTGTAACACTAAAAAAATTCCGGGATCGAATTCTGTTTGTGTATAAATTATTTGTATTATTTTAATGTCTCTACATAGTTGAATAGTTTTACATAATCTATACATATATATAAAAGAAAGTTGTGCTAATTACACTAATTTAACTCAAGAACGGCTGTAGGGATATGGTTGAAAATTGCCATTTAGATAGCTTAGTACCAGGTGACGGACATTGGAAATTTAATGCAGTACGATCGTAAAAGAAAAAACTTGATAAACTCCAATATTTGGTTATTTACAGCTTCTATGGCGTAATAGAGTTCGCCCGGTCAGCTATACATATATTACTAATCCCGAAATTAAAGGACGAAGTCGCTGACAAAAACTGGTTATAAATAAATCAAGAGGATTCATTTATGTTTTTTGCTGGGTTCTCAATGGAAATGATGAAACAACTGTTATGAAGTTCATATAGTTAGTTAGTAATGGTTTACCTTTCCATGGTGGGAGGTGTTGTCATGATGCGCATCCAATTGTTCAGGCAGTTCCGTGGTGATATCATGACCATGTCTGTGGGCACATCGACCAGGTATCTGAAAGGAAATCAAGATTATATGACTGTCTTGTAAGAACCTGAATAATATTAAGTTTATATAAAGGTCTTAAAGATACATGATTTTGAATATTATGTGTAAGTTATAGATTCACGAAGATACTGTTATTAATTTGTGTGATGTTTCTTATATAAAGATATCTTAATATTTCGTAGTGTACAAGTGTGCGATTATAATTTTGTTGTAAAATGCTTGTTGCTCAAATTTTATCCGAATTTGTGCTCGCATTAATTAGCTGCAAACTTATTGCATGAGACAAACTGTTACGATCTTTTTACTTAATGTTAATTACAATATTCAAACAAAACATATTTACAAAAATAATTCACTGATTATTAGTTCATGTACACATTTAACTATAGCATACATGTGTTTCACAAAGCGTATCCGCGGGCTGAAACCGTTCTAGAGCAAATATTTACAAATAGATCTAATATAGGTATAGATCTAGTCGAGCTGCAATATGCTCTAACGGCATCGTGTCCAATAGAGCGGTCTAAAATATCGATAAAGCTGTCGTTTGCAGCGTAATGTTTTCAACTTACTATCAACAACGAACAAAATGTATTGCATTGAGATGGCATTAAATTTATAGGACGTTGTCAACGATTGTAATATTGAAACAAAAACTATGTAAATTTTATTCTACAATACTGATAATGTGACAATAATTCATTTTAAACGCAGATATGATATTTTAATATGCTAATATTGTTTTAATTAATACGTTTTTGTGGTCATATATATTTTTAATGAGTTATATTTAATTTTTGATCAAATGATACTTCGACGAATTTAAGAATTTCCTTTATATTTAAATTATAAATAATAATACCAAAAATCCCTATATATTTTTAGTAAGGCTTAACTTTGTTTTGCCTAGATGTAAGTTAAAGTTATCAGAAAAAATTACCTCAATATACAAATATTTCTACCAGGATTATACAAAATACATATTCTCTTTTTTACATAAATATTTTGGTTATAATGTTTAATATTCATTTTAAAGTTCGTTCTGTTTAACTATTTCTTTCCTAATTATGTTTTACACTTTCAAATAATTGAGAAATTTATTCACATATAAGAAAGAAAGGACGTTTCTGAGGACCATAAAAAATATTTTAATATATAATTGAAGATACAAAGTCATTGAAATTTGATCATTTATAAACCAGGAGAGCATTGTTGATTGTTGGTACATTATCAAACGACTGACCAATTTGACACAATATTTTTTATTGGCCCCATCGCATCGATCGAAACCTTTGTCTAATGCACTGAAAGAGTTCAGTGGGTCGGATAATACAGCATCCGGACCAAGTGATAAGAATCCAAGATTCATTATTAAACTTGTATTGATACTATTATAATATCTTTATCATTATTAATTTTTATTTCATTATTTACTCTGAGGATAGGGATTAATATTATTACAATTTGTCTTTTAAACCCATCATTCATTTGTTGTGGATGAATTCCTGATTTTTCACTGCTCTTATTGTTCATAACCTCATAGTCTACTCTTCAGTTTCTTAACTTAGTACTAAATAAATATGAACGAGTTACCTAATTACGTACAAGCAGCTATGTACTAGTATAGTCCCTTGATCACAAAATGAAGTGTATGGAAGATTTTGAAAATTCTGATATAAAGAAACGATAATTTCTTTCTGTTAATATAAATAACGAATAAATATTGTGACATTTTTTATAAATAATTTATATTTGCACCTTAATCTTGTTAATCAATACACAATATAATTTAAAATTCAAGTTAAAGATTCTTAAATTAAATCAGATTCTGTTACAATTATGAAATGAAAGCAAACATATAATATGTTCGGTTTTATTATAAATACAATTTATTTTGCAACCAATAATGATACATTTAATAAGTCAATGTATAAAGTTACTGCTATTAGCTGTAAAATGAAACGATGTGGATATAATAGGATTTACAAAATGTTTTCATGTGCGATTTACGAGTATGTTCGATATTGCTTTGTTTTAAGTCGATTAATATTTCGAATTAATGAACGGCCGAATGAAAGCTTTGTTACATTGTTCTTGTTTTATTTCGGATGTGATGACGTATTGAATCTCATGTTTGACGTCATCAACTTGGGTCTGCTGAGGTCTATTTTTAGTCTAGATGAATCTAGACTAGACTGCACGTATGTCTGAGAACCTTCGCAGGTGTGTCATTGTACTTTGTTCTTATTGTTGCTCTAAGCGATCTTCAACTCCTATTTTAAAGGACTTTAATACAATCCTAAGTTAGAAATATCTTTGTAACTAGATACGTCTTACGACGTTTGTTTTAACTTGAGCTAACAATATTCTTGACTTTAACAAAACTATAAAGTTTTCCAAGTGTTTCAACGAAAGAATAAATTATCCATGCGTCTTTATAAACTTTTCAATTTAAAATAGAAGTAAGAATATTTAAAAATTAGACCAAAAAATTAATAAAGTTACTGTATAAGTTATATAACATAAATTACGGATATTTGAAGTAACTTCAAGAATTCTATTAAATCATTTGGTTGCCGTTGCTAACCAAATCCATAGCAACGAGATATCAATACTCACTATAGCAACGGGTTTGTTCGATAATATTGAAATACAATTAGCGCAGACTGATTCTAAAGCAACGAAAATGGTTATCCTACATGTAAAAAGAGGTGATGAAAACCAGTTCCTCTATGAGACGACAGTGAATAATTCTGTTGATGATGTTGTTAGAGATATCACAGCTATATTCAATGGGAGGTTGAAGGTAACGAGGATTTGCTATGAAATGGAAGAATTGCAGAAACACGGCACCTTCCTACCACCAGAAATGCAGGGGTTGAATGATGATCAGGTATTCAAATATACTAATATTGTTTGTAATAGAAGGTATTTTAATTTGAAACATTTTTTCCAAAACATTTTTTGAATATGATTAGTATTCTTTATTTTTCATTTTAACTATTATTTAAGAAGGAAAATATTTTTTTTACGCTATTCCTTGATAATGTTACTAAAAAGTTACAGGAGCCAAAACTAATAATAATAATCAAAATAAGCCAGACAAAATGTATACAAAAATTTAAGTTTGATTTAGACATTATTTTGTTTCAAAACTATTTTCTATATCATAAATGAAATATGTTGTCATAAATCTGAAAGATTAAGAAATATATATAAAATAATACTTTAGTCTTTCGCAAGTTGAAGTTGATGTAATAAAATTAAAATAAACATACTCCATTAAGTATGATAAAGGAGTTTTCAAACGTAATATTTGTTGAATTTCTATTTGTAGATAAAGGAGCTTAAATTAGAAGATCCTTGGGCAAAGCGTTGTGCTCCCGTGGGATATATTGAAGCCAAGGACGAAATGTGTCGTAGGTGTGGCTTGGCACCTCCACCCAACCTTCAAGAAGTACTTAAGAAGGCTGCAGAGACAGCTAAAGAGATCATTAGCAAGAAACATGTGAGATGAGTTTTAAATAAGATATTAGGAAAATTGTTTTAAACCAGTACGCTTTATGTTCATGTCTTCTTTAAGATAGATTAATTACTCTGTCGGATTATTAAATTATAATGAGTAATCAGTAATAGTTAAATATTAAATTAAATATAAAAGTATGTATAAAAAGAAAAGCCTAAAATATATCTCATATTCATCAGTCGTGAGCAAACTATCTTTATTATAAATCTGGCCAAGTTCCGTTTTGCACGATTCGGTTTGACGGTGCAATTCTTCTAAAAGGTATGTGGCTTTTGCCAAAAATCTGACAAATTTGTTCCATTTGATAAAAGTTAGCAGAGACTTCTTATTCTATTACTTTAGTATTCTTATTTTAATACTTTCCAACTTTGCGATTTTGGCGCATACGCTTCATTTTTACCGCAATAGAGTAACATTACGGAGGTAATTAAAATAAAATAAAATAATTTTTAAATATCATTAATTTGAAATCATTATTTGGTACAAGTTATTTAAGACGTAGCAATATTAAAGCGGTAGTTTAAAGTCTAAATCAGATAATAACAAAAAAAATTAACCATACAGGTTGATCTCCGTAAATGCCTGACACAAAAAGACGTTTCTAGAGCACTCGATGAGCTTCGAGGTGCAACTAAGATAGTTTTCCCAGCCGGCCTTCCTCCACACGACCCCGTGCGAATGGAACTTGATAACGTTGAAGACCTGTCTGGAACCCAAGCCGCTAATGAGGTGATCGATCCATCGAGGGCATGTCTTTGGACGTGCGGGAAAAAACTATTGAGTGGCAATCTGTTGAGTGATCATCTAGGTAATTTGATTTTTATACCATCCAGTTTGGTTTGACCTCATTTGTAAAATATATCTAGGCTAGCATATTCTTCTTTAATTAGATTTATATTTGATACTAGAAGACCTGGCGAACTTCGTATCGCCCTATAATCAAGAAATATCTATTACGTTTTTTTATTTATATTTTTGGAGTTTACCTGTAAGTCATAAATCTACGTGTTTTGAAGTGCGACAGAATGATTGACATATTAGTTAGTTGTCAAATCTAATGTCAAAAAAAAACGTTTGTATGGGAAATAGAAAAGGGCTGTTTTTATGGTTTTCCTAGTACTGAATCAATTTTTTTCAGCTTTTATACCTTCCCTGAACCTCCACGAACATTTCAAGACTAAGATAAATCCGTTCAGCTGTTCTCGAGTTTTAGCGAGACTAAGGAACAGCAATCCATTTTTATATATATAGAAGATTAATGGTTTGTATCTATGTTTTAGGTAAAAATGATAAATCTAAAGTAACAGTCAAGCTTTGCTCGGTATCCGAAGGTGCTCCGGGTCGTGAACCAGTACTTACAGAAGAAGAGAGAAAGCAGCTGATGCTTCAAGCATATCGGAAGCAAGAAGAATGGAAGAAATTGGAACAAGACGATGATGATAATTACTTGAACTCAAAGTGGGCTGATGGTCAAAATTTAAAAAGACAATTCCATGGATTGAATAACATTGATTGGAAACCAGTGATTAAGAAATAAGCAGTGAATATGAGGCATGTGATATTGGTTAAAGTAATTATTATTTAAATATCATATTTTTCTTTGATTTACGTTTGACAAGTACATAAGAATTATTTTGCAGGCTAACTTATGCTCTTTAACTTTATTTTAATTCATTAACATTAAAAACTAATAAAAATTAAATGTGCATATTTATTTCTGCCCCTTGATAACATAAGACCACATAAAAAATATACCAAAAAAAGGGAAAATTAATTATATCAGTCAGGAAAATAAAAATAAAAAACGTTTTGCAAAAAAATAAGATTATAGCCATTGTATGATTAAATAATGCGTAAGTGTCCGCAAAGTTTATAAAATTATTTCTGTGCAGATTTTAATGTGGTCAGTGTTTATATGGTAATGTGAGGGGGAGTGGTAATTGCGGACAAGTAAATGTATTAGGGTACAACATTATTTATCCTGTGTAACGCAGACCTCAAAGCACTGGACCATTTCTATTTATATCTAAGGGTATTTCAAAGTTTCAGAGTGATATATTCACTGAACTAGTTTTTTTATGTTAAATACTAGTTTTTGCCCGCGACTTCGTCCGCGTTAATTTCGTCATTAGTAATATAGGTATAGCAGACCGGGCAAACTCTATTCCGTCTTCAATAGCCCGGTATTGGTATTTATTTAATTTCTACTATTTCAATCGAACAGAATGATTGACATATTAGTTAGTTGTCAAGTCTAATGTCAAAAAATCGTTTGTATGGGAAATAGAAAAGGGCTGTTTTTAGGGTTTTCCCGGCAATTTTTCCAATTTTTCTCACCTTTTAAACCTTCCCTGGACTTCCAGGAGTATTTCAAGACTAAAATTAGCCAAATCGGTTGATCCGTTCTCGAGTTTTAGCGAGACTAAGGAACAGCAATCCATTTTTATATATATAGAAGATTACCTAAAGGTGTATTTCTTAATTAGCCATTCTATACCTAAATTTTAAGTGTACTACTTCGGAACGTCTATACTATGAATCAGATTAAATAAAAATCTGCTATGGATACCTCCTTTTCGAGAATCCAATAAAAATAAATGACGTTCACACGAAAAAGTAATTTGCAAAAGTTTCTTTTCATTATTATGCACCTAATTTAAAGCTTTAGCTACAAAAATCATGTTAACAATATACAGGGTGACTGGTGAATTACTATCGATACTTGAGGACGTGATATTTGACGATCATATATGACAAAATAAAAATTAATATAACATAAATATTAATAAACTTCTAAGTAAAGTTAACCAAAAGTTATGTAATTAATTACGCATCGTGTGAACACCCTACAGATTAGGTATACACACACACACACACACACACACACGGCGGCGGCGTGGTGTTGTATCAGCACGCCGCCGCACGCGTCCACACTTGGAACACTTGGAACGTGTCCACACTTTATTTATTTATACGGAAATTTGGTCAAAAATTAAGTACCTATTTTTTTTACATAATTCGAATGAGAATCATGTACCGAGTATTCTCCTTAAATATTGATAGTAATTCACCAGTCACCCTGTATATTATAAACTATTAAAATAAACCACCATAATAAGTACTATATCTTTAAACCAATTCATCATAAGATTGTTTTCAAATTTCGTTTCCAAGATGGTACGAAATTAATACGACAGGATATTCAAAATATAGAACGAATTTTCAGATACGAGTGTAAAGCGTTTATTAAATTTTAATCAAAATTAAGGGATCACTGTTTTTAGGGCCTTCGAAATTTTTGAATATTTTATAAAGTTATCAGTCAAATATTAAGGAACTCACAAAATGTTCAGTGATAAAACGTAAAGAAAATCATGTACATATTTAAAAAGTGTGTAATTATATTTTAACTAACAGCGTCTAAAAATACAACGCCAACATCTGTTGTGCTTGCAAAGTAAAAGACATATTTCATTTTCAATTGTATTTTCACAACTGACCTCAGTTCCACAAGTTTTCAGACTTACCCTCAATTGAGTTTAAATTGCTTTACAATTATGAAGTACATAAAAGCCTTCACTGTACATAGACAAAGGCTTCATCGAAAATCAAATAATTCTATTATTGAAATGTACTGAGATAAAATATTTAATATTCTCATCCATTCATTCCATTAAAATAATAAATTACAAGGCTCTCTGAATAAATGTAGGAGGTATTTTTTTTTCAGCTTATTAAAGTTTAAGAAATTTTATCTTTCAAGTGACAGAAAGACAAATAATAAAGATAAGAAAGTCAATAGAAAATAAAATAAACAATAACTATTATATTTTTCTGGAATTCATGAAGCAATTCTAAGAAAAAAATCTTATAAATTTGGAGAAAAACCTAAAAAAATTAATAAAGGTTACGTTTCCGTGGGAAGTCTTTCCATACTCTCATAACTCAAGTTTTAATGATTGAAAGAATTCCTTACAGTTCTTGGAAAATTGAAAACAAAAATACACCAGTTTTATTAAGATTTCTTTTCTATTTTCTTTGGCGTTTGATGTTGTATTTTATTTAAGTTACGATTTTTTTTCATTTCATTCTGTTCATCATTATTTTTGATACTATATTCATGCATACCATTATAACAGAAATATATTTTGATTAAATTTGATGTTTTAATTCGTGATTTTTTTACATCTTCTATCTTCTATATATATATATATATATATATATAAATGGATTGCTGTTCCTTAGTCTCGCTAAAACTCGAGAACAGCTGAACGGATTTATCTTATCTTAGTCTTGAAATGTTCGTGGAGGTTCAGGGAAGGTATAAAAGCTGAAAAAAATTGATTCATTACTGGGAAAACCATAAAAACAGCCCTTTTCTATTTCCCATACAAACGTTTTCTTTGTCATTAGATTTGACAACTAACTAATATGTCAATCAATCTGTTCGATTGAAACAGGAGAAACCTGATTATTAATGGCCTCTAAAACGGAATAGAGTTCGCCCGGTCAGCTATACATATATTACTAATAACGAAACTAACGCGGACGAAGTCGCGGGCAAAAACTAGTATATATATAAAAATGGATTGCTGTTCCTTAGTCTCGCTAAAACTCGAGAACAACTGAACGGGTTTATCTTATCTTAGTCTTGAAATGTTCGTGGAGGTTCAGGGAAGGTATAAAAGCTGAAAAAAAATGATTCATTACTGGGAAAACCATAAAAACAGCCCTGTTCTATTTCCCATACAAACGTTTTTTTTGTCATTAGATTTGACAACTAACTACTATGTCAATCATTATGTCGCACTTCAAAACACGGAAATTTATGGCTTACAGGTAAACTCCAAAAATATAAATAAAAAAAAGTAACAGATATTTCTTGATTATAGGGCGATACGAAGTTCGCCAGGTCTTCTAGTATAACTATAAATTTTCACGTACATTTTTGGATCTGTTATGCAATTTTAGTTAGTTTTATTTTGAGTTAATGTGATGCAAGCGTTCGTAAGTGACGTTCGCTAGCTGTTACCGAATAAGTTCAAAGTTAATTGAGACTGATTCATTCACATTAGCTGAACGCAGCAGAACGACTGTTGAATACTATTCTCCGCAATGCATTGGCAAACCAAAGAGCATTGAATTAAACCCAACCATTACTTGTTCACACAGGACTATTTGTGTGCTGTTTGATAATATGCTAATTTGAAATTGTCATATAATATTCATAATTTTATTTCGATCGTGTCCTGATTTTCATTGAAAGTCGTATAGCTAGAAAATATTCTGACATATGTTTGTATAGTTGATGTATCAAATAATATATATTATATGTATAATTGATATTTAATATTATAACGACAAATTTTTCCATCTAGAAGGGTAGGAAGAAATGTCGTATCTTGTTAATCAAGTTCTTTTGAAAGGATCACCTGATTTAATAAACGCTACAATCGAATTTCATCTCCTCCTTACTTCTGTAGAACCATTTATTATATGTAAAAATTTTGCATATTTTAAAGTAGAAGTCTTAGTTTCTAATGAAAATATTTTGATGTATATACATTTACTTTTTCCTCATAAGTAGACGTTTGTATTTTCTCCGATAGCTCTTTTTATTAATATTGTTAATAGGGAGCTAGTTTTCGCGTAACCAAATTCAATCCTGATTATTCTTTTGTTTCAATTATTAACTAATATAAAGTAACAATACAAGGGCATAAAAATTTCTAAGTTTCGAAACAAAAATGTTGAAAACCATATAAGATATATACTATCATAAACCCAGAGATTTATTTAACAAAAAGTTATTGGGACGGCATCAAATGAGAGTTATAACAATAAAATGCTTTCGGTTGGAAATGAAAACTTCAGCTAAACTTTTAAACTTCCAAAACTTCGTCTCAAAAGTTGCGATAGTTTCATAGATTCAAGTGAAATTATATCTATTTTATTATATTATCCCAAAGCAATGATAATGCTAGATTAATATTAGAATATGAATTTTAGGAAATAAGAAAATTTTATTTAAATATCAATTATTTAAAAAGAGTTAGTATTTTTTATCCTTTCAAATATTATTTTAAAATAAAATTAAAATTAATCTTAAAATACGTGTAAATACTCGTAACTATAGCTCAACTTAAAAATAGAATTCAAAGAAGATGCGATGCCTGGAAAACATACTGTTGACATTTCCTAGAAATGTGTTTATCACTAGAGAATTTTATACTACTTTTTTTACAATATACCAAATAAAAATACATCTTTATACTTTTATGTAAACATTAATTAAAAGTTTCATAAGCAAAAATATTTCAGTAATTTCATTGTGAAAAACTATAAAAGAATGCATGCTTTCGTATGTATATAAAAATCTTATTATTTATTAATTACTGTACAATAGCTCCAGGACTTTAAATACATGGATGTCATATATATTGTTATATTGATTTAATCATTCCATTTAAATCAAAGTTATACCGGGACCACAATTTAGGGAATAATTATATTAGAAGTGACTGTACGTGAGCCCTC